AAATAAATGTCCATTTACAAAAGTACATACTTCAAGAGTAAGGAACAAATAAATGTCCATTTACAAAAGTACATACTTCAAGAGTAAGGAACAAATAAATGTCCATTTACAAAAGTAAATACTTCAAGACTAAGGAACAAATCTTTACTAATAATTCTATTTATTTCACCGTTATGTCACATTTTTGCTCACATTGAATTTCTTCTTTGCATTTTGAGACCACATACACACACATTTAAGCCTTTTATCAGATGTCCTGACAGTTGCATAACATAAATATTTTCTGTATAATTCTCATGATAGTATAACTAACATAAATTATAATTTAATTTTTTGTTATTAAAAACAGATAAATAATAATTAAGAGTTCAGCCTGATTATTTTTTTATCCTGGTGGCTCAGTAATAACCTAGAAGGCTTATAACACTGAAAACGAAACAGTGCTTAGCAAACTCAACACTTTGGGTTCTACCGTTCAGTATGCGATCCCTGTGGTTAGCACTGCATAGATAACCCATTGTCCATCTTCGTACTTTACAAAAACCAAGCGAACAATTTTACTCTGTGTTTGATTCTTTTATAATAGACACAAAAAGGTGCTACCTCAAAATATTTCTTGTTTACAATCTTATAGTAATTGCCATAGAATGTGGTGTAAGTTTATTCAAAGTCAGGGTTGTATGTGATGTAGTAAACTTTACATGTATGTTCATGATGTTAGAAAAACACGTAGGTTCAAGAAGTCTTGACAGAAATGAATAAAAACCCTATAACCCGAGTGCTTTCAAAATGTGGACCTTTCTTCTTCAGGGGCATGTTTTTATTAATGATCATCTCTGTGCACATTATATTGAAGTGTTTCCTAGCATGTAGTTAGTTGTGTATAGTGAAGTATTGTTTGAGAAACTAGTAAACTTGTATTGGTATGTTTTAACACTTTATAGTTTTCCGCCAATATAGACTGTAAGCTTTGTATATTAAAGTGAACTAGTTGAAATGTTACTAATGTTTAACGCTTGATGGTTTGAAATAGCTGAATGTGACCCCTGAATCATTAATCTGTTTTGTTTGGTTATTCCTCATTTTTTTTAAAGTTAGACTAATATTTGTTCATACTAAGTACCTCCAGGACCTTTAAAATATTGTATCCTGCAGTGGTGTTTTTAAGTGTGTTTTTTTCAGATATTATAACTAACTCCCTCACTTCTTGTAACTAACCCAGCAGAGAATCCAGACACTACTTAGTGGTATGCAAGTTATGGAAGATCAAGAGGTTAGTGTTGAATGTAAATGTATTCTGTTGTCTTTGGTATATTTCACCTAATCTTACAGTTCATATACGATGGAACTGTGTTTAAAGTTTGGTAGACTTTTAACAGATTGGAATCTAAGAAAGATTACTTAAGTAAGAATGAAAATGACCAGAATTTCAGTTTTTCTTTCATTTCCAACATTTTTTTTCTTTGCTATTCAGGAACTTCAGAACCAAGTGTGTGTTTATAATATTTTGAATGATAGACTAGCATGTGATTTATATTGTCATAAGCATTATTGGTCTTCAAACTAAAGGACGACAGTGGCAACATACGATTCTATAAACATGTATACAGCATAATTTTAATATCCAGGTAACAATAATGATCTCTGCAAATACTAAATACATACATTTAGAGTAATATGTAGATAATATTTTCTTGATGAAGTTTTATGAAAGGTTTCGGTAATACTTCTTTAAACAAAACATTTAAAATTATTATTGAAGTGTTAAATGTTGGTCTTTCTTTTAGTCAGATAATTTAGAAATGTTTATCCTGTGATTCAGATGTTCCACAAGTCACACAGTTTAATTTTAGCAAATGATATAAATCTTGTAGCTCAGTCCCTGGTTATTTTTCATTGATTAATTTTATGTTTGTGAATATAATCTCCTGTAAGTGTATTTGAAAATGTCAGTTAGATATAAGTGAACAAGTAACTGTTACAAACTGAATTTTATTTGTATATCAGTTGCTGTTTTTTTATTTGTTTGTCAGAACATGTATGTATGTGTATATATATATTAGGTCATCAAGAAATTAATGTCACTTTTTTTTTAGATGATAAAACCCGAACAACTTTTATATATCAAAACAAAACATTTATTAAATGAAACAGTCTCCATTCTTATCAATGATGCTTTACCATCTTACAGTCAGGTTGTTAATGTCCTGATTAAAGAAATCACTTGGCTTTGAAGCAAAAAACATGTCGATGTTCTCTTTAACACCTTCCATATTTGCATACGTTTTCCCATTACGATGGTGTTGCAGCGAACGAAAAAGATGGTAAGCTGATGGTGTCATATCTAGAGAATATGGTTGGTGGGGGAGAACTTCCCAACCCAACTCCATAATCTTGTGTTGCGTCAAACGTGCCACATGTGGACATGCATTGTAGTGGAGAAGAAGAATGCCTATGTGATTGACGAGTGAAGGGCGTTTTGGATGAAGGGCTTAATTTAAACATTCCAATTGTTGACTATGTCTGCATTGACAGTTCACTGTGAATTGAGGAGTTCGAAATGAATTACTCCTTT